AAACATATCCATTAATGAGGAACGTTTAGGGTTCAACAAAATGTGCTGAATACGTGTCTTTCTCACTCGCTAACAGTATAACCACATTTGGTTTTATCAGACTTTGGAAAAAAAGGAACAGGTAATTTCCGGGAGAAAAAGAGTATGGGTACGACAAATGCAGCAGATTGGAGCAAGACTTATACTACACATGAGATTTTTTTAGCTAAGTGGTCGAACATTGAGTTAGAAAAATATCGCTAAGAAAATATGTTAAAAAGTTTGAGGGCGGGTTAATCGATGCTTTCATAGGCAAAACGTAGTGTACGAAGGCTCAATAATTTCCTTTGCACAAAATACAAATCTTCATATCTAAAAAGTCGTTTACATAACATTAATAATCATCAAATTATATGATAGTTTGTACTTGGTTTAGTTCAAATTCCTTACAGGGCACAAGTGAACATCGACATAAGCCACTCGGAGATGAAAGTCGAGAGTGAAACAATTCATTACTGCACTCGTTGCCACTGGAGAAGCTGCTCAGATCGTGGAGTACCTGAAGCACATCTGGCGCCTATATACTTACTCTCTAAGATCCAATCGAGCTCGTGAGTTGTTGATTCATAAAGAAATTGACCTTTAAGTTTAATCTTCCACGTCATCATAATATTCAAAGATAGGCTTTCCCATAAAAAATTCAAGCTTGGACTACTTGGCGAAAGGGAGCGTAACACATTAATTAATACTGTCCTGCAAAGAACCCGTAGTTCGACCTTGCCTCTCAAGCTCACTAAGCTTTCGGTTCCTTCAGTGTCGACATACTTGATCGGACTTGTCTTGGAGAAAAGCAACACTGACGTGATACACCGGTAGACTAACTCGATTCATTATAGAAGCAATTTATGCACTCAGCCACATAACGATGCTGTATCAAGTCGAATGTCTTTCCTTTTGCACTTTTCTTGAGAACTGGACATTGCAGGAAGCTTTACCCTTCTTTTCTGCTTTCATGCTGATTGCTCGCAAAATCATGTAACACTCTCATAAATAGGGAATAGTTAGTAAAGCGTTCAACGGAAGTAATCACATGTCTCAGGTAGGACACATGTGAGCTTTGAAACGTATTTTCTTCTCTACTCCTCCAACGTGACTTGTGGTTTCTGCATAAAAGTAGTCATATTCACATACATATTTACGCTGGTATGCAAGAGTGTTCACTAATTGTATCATAGAAGTCGACTGTATCTCAACATGCTGAAGTATGCACCAAGCACAATGAAAATCAACGATGAGAGGGAGAGGTATGATACTAGTGAATCTAAACAACAAAGTATAAAATCATTCAGGGTTCATGTAGCAATGATTAGAGGTGCCCATATTCATAATTCCTGTCTCGGCTACACTTCCCTTTGCAAGCATGTTCCAATTCTTTCTTGTTGGCAAACTGCTGCATTTGCTAGGACGATGGTAGCACTGACTTTATGCATCGATGGACAATCGCAAATCATTGCATAAGATGGACACGCTTTCGATCGCCTCCACCGATGATTGATAAAGCCAAAGTCGTGGCTTATCCTACACAGATGGATCAAGGCCAATTTCTTTACTCCTTATTCTTCATTACTAGGCAGAGGAGAAAGTTTCTATAAAATGCGAAATTTTCAAATTTTATGTTTGCTTTACACATTATCGGTATATTGCAAATTCATGAGAATATCTCAGCAATTTTTTGATAAAAAACTCCTACGGCAACGTTAGTTGTGGCGCTTCAAATTTTTATTTGCTTTTCAAATATCAAGTAATGATGATGAACAAAATTGAGCTTTGATCCTTTCATTATTATATGAGCCAACATATCATGTGGTCTGGTAAAGGCTCTTGTACAGCCCGAGACACGTGTTTCGTCCTTACAGACTCATCAGCCGGGCAGAACCCGTCGTCTGTTGATCTTTTCATAGTCAGTTCTCTCGGGAGCATCACACTCCTTAAATATAATTATCGACGACCTACGCTTTACGCTCTTGCTGATGAGTCTGTAAGGACGAAACACGTCTCTCGGGCTGTACAAGAGCCTTCACCAGAAAAGTTGACATGTTGGCTCAAATAATAATGAAAGGATCTATTGAAATTTGAGCGTGGTCTTAATAAAGCACTCGAAGGAAAGGTATATTGAGCTTTGAGTTTAAATACGCTATTGCTGGAAGTGTCAACTTTTGACATGAGATTATGCTTCGAAGGAGATCTGTGGTGCTGATGGTGAAGAAACTGTGCGATATGTGACTGTTGCAAAGTAGTGCAATGGAACAAATCCTGCCTTAGACGCCGATTCGAAACATTTAATCAAACTGAAGAGGCACGTTAGGAGTTTTTTGATACAAACAATCTCGATTTTGAGCAAATCCCAAGGCTTGCAGATCGTTAGCAGGAAATCGTTGATAATGATGGGTTTTATTGTGAAGAATAATTAATGTTATTTTCAACTGAATTTATGTATAAAATTTGATCTTTCAGCAGGTTTTTGAGAACTTTTCTTCGACCTAATATAACCCTCGACTTCTCCGGCGACTATAATCAACATGTTTAGAGTACCAGTTGTCTTACACTGCTCAGCCGGAGTCGGACGTACTGGTTCTACTGTACTTCTTAAGCATGCAGTAAAACTAGTAAACTCTCATACACCACTTAATGTAATTCGAGGACTACTGCTAAACTTACGCAAACAGCGAAATAATGCGTTGCAGGTAATTTGAATGAAGTGTTACAATATCCTATGAACACTAATGAACCCTCCTCTTATAACTCTCGATATATTCGATAAAATTAAGTTTACATTTATGAGACAGTTATGTCACAATACTTTCATGTTGAGTCATAAAATGTCGTAAGCAATGAGACCAAAAATTATGGGAAAAGCTGATTATTTTGTGATCTGACTTATTTCACTTTCTGGAAAATGTAATTTTTTTCAGACAGAACAACAGTATTTCCACGTTCATCGGGTGCTCTTGTTATATCTGAAGAAAAAGAAAAAGCTGAACGACAGTCTAACTCCGCACCTCGAGAAATTCACAGCAGCATCAAAAGAAATTTAAGTAGAAGCGGAAGGGCGAGGAGATTTTCATATTTCCTACCAAACACTTAAATATGCGCCTGTTTTGTGAGAAAGTCTCTTTCTTGCTCTACAGTAGCAAAAGTAAAATTGAGATTTACACTTGATACGTTGGTGCTCATTTCTAGCTAGAGTGAATTTTTACCCTCAACTACAAGTAATCAACACTAAATCTCAGCAATTCCAACATTGCGCTTGTTTCCTGAAAGGAATTTCATTGCTTTGTAGCATGGAGACTGAAACCGCGTTTCACACACGGCTCATATTTTTGTCGAATAAGCAAAGTGAATAGTTCTGGATTAATCATGCTCTTGAACGATCGCGCAAAGAGATTCACATGTGCCGCGTGATTTTTGAAGCAGAATTCAAGTTCTCTTTCAGACTTTAAAAAAAAACTCTAGATAAGACGTATGACCTTCATACTCCACGATTTCCTCTACACGTTCATATGCTTTCCGTGCATAGGCTTAGAGTACATAACTTTAGGATTAATAGCGATTTGATTTAGCAATATTAAGTAAGTCAAAAACGCTAAAGCCACAGAACGATAAAAAATGATTCCTCTACAACTGCAATACAAAAAACAACCTCTGAATCTTCACATAACGGTGAAAAAAAAATTCAAAAAGTGAAAATACGCGCAATTACGCGAGCCGTGTTCGAAACCTAAATTATTTCCACTGTTATAACACTCTGACTGAGCCTTCTTAAACTAAATACGTTTTCGAATTTATCGACATTTATGAGTTTGCCTGATTACTATGAGTCTACTGGAAATTTGCAGTCCAGTAAATACATTTCAATACATAAATGGGCCCTCGAAAACAGAAAAGAATTGATAACTATCAATCAATATACAGACATGTAAAGTAACTCAGAGGCGTCCTATATGCAAACACTCCTTATTGTAAACTTGCCAGTGCTGAAGATTTCCCACTTCATTTTAACTTATCGTCCTTACCCTATCAATTTTCATCGTCTATACCAGCTCCCATGCCTGAAACCATTCATTTTCAGCTACGATGGCTGCTATAATTCAAATCCAGGACGGATTGAATAAATGAATGTTTTGAGCCAATGCTTGTACTAATAAATAATAAACGTGATCTTTAATTGCACATAATACTCATCACTTACTGTTTACTTATGTCAAAACGAACCATACCGATGATTTATGATGTAGGGAGACTACACAAACCATCAAAACATCATGCGGTACGAATGTTTTCTTCGGACCACACCTCAAATTTTGATAAGCCATGAAAAAAATTTTGAGCCACGCATGTCTTGTGTTTTTTTGAAAAAGGGCTGACTTAAAGAGTCCCATTTCACTGGACACAGAATGTAAAACCTTTGCCGTCGCTAATTCTTATTGTGGGGTCTGGAGCACCCACAGAGGATTGGCAAAAGACGTGAATGGGTAACTAAGAGACTGACGAGAAGGCAAGGTCCAAACACGTGTATCGGGCTCTATAAGTCAGCCCTTTTTAACAGACCATATGATGTGCGCGGCTCAAAAATGATATTACAGAACACTGAATCATCGTTTATCAAATACTTTTCTGATGTGAGCCCACATCATTCAGTACGCGATGTTTCTACCACTGCACCACCGCGTCACGTTTGCCCGATCACTCATTCTTCAGTATCTCTATATTACCTATCAGCCACCAACCTTTAACAGGTTTGGCTTTGGCTCACCACTCAATTCTTCTAGATATATAGTAACATCATAACACTGCGAAAAAAAAAGAAGTAAAAATGCAAGAATTTCTGAGTATTATATCTAGCAGTGATCGTCAGCTCATCTGGGTTCCTAAAGTGAAATCGCATACCCGACTAAGCTTCTTAAGGTTGGTGGCTGATAGCTAACATAGAGATGTTGAGGATTGATCGGTTGGGCAAATGTGCCTCTGTGGTGTAGTGGTAGAGCACGCGCCCGGATAGAATAAATCGCGGTTCGATTCCTGCCTGGGGCCGTGTTTTTGCTCACCACTCAATTCTTTTGGGTATAAAAGTCTTAAGGTTGTTACAAATCGAAAAGCTAAACCATTATTACGTGCTAACTTTCTCCTTAGGTAGACCTTTATATTTAAAAGCGTTCCAAAGCAGAGTCGAGGCATGATACGCAAACAAAACCACTCTTTTGCATATCACCTTGACTTACAATATCTCTGAGTGAACAAAATGTGTCTCCAGATTCTCGCACAAATATTATTCGATTTTCAGGATTCAAAGAGGTAACCGAAATATTGATTTAATGTACAGACATATTAAATTATAAGTGAAGTGTAGGCGTCCCGTCAATGGCGGAATCCAAAAAACACTTCGCGAAATGATTGAATCTATGGTCATTAATGCTTGAATGGAGATTTTGGATATTACCGAAGTGTTTAGTTTACACTCTTTGCAATACATTACCAAGTCTTCAAACAAACCAAAACACTCGTTCAATTTATGGTACTGTCGAAGGAGTTCTTAACCACGTATCGTCAATAAAGAGTATCTGTCTTTTGCATGTAGAGCAATAAAAACGCGAGTTGTCTACAATTTCAAATAGAATTCTTTCATGTGAATGTGTTGAGCACCCGAATGTTAGACGACGGAAAATTTTTGAGCCGATCTCATTTTCTGGAGAAGAACTTTTCATAGAAGTGTCAGCAAAATTCGAAAGCTTGAATATCTGACTACAGCTTCACTTCTCCGCTTCTTCAAAACAGCTTTTTATAACGCAGTAGCATCAGTAGCATCCATAATAATATTTTGTTTTTCACTCGCCTTTCGCTTCCATTTTTAACATGAGTCTAAATTACTGAAAAAACCAAAAGCATATCAGCGTGTAGAGAATGTTCCGTAGTATCAGATATTATGTCTTTATCTAAAGTTTCTTCCGAGGCGGTGAAAAAATCTTCAATCGAATAAAAAAATTTTAAACACGATAGATCGCCCTCCCCTTCGCTTCGTGAGTTGGCCGCTAAACAAGGTCGCCGGAAAAGTTCATAGCTGAGTAAAATGTGAAGGAAAGCTACAAATACGGTATGCTAGTAAGGTACTTAGCTGATATACTGCGTAACTCGATAGTGATCTACCACACTATGCGTTAAAACGGCGGCAAGTGTTGTTATTTTATTAGGAATTTTCTTTACCTCTTTGTTAGAAACTTAATTGAAAACGCATGAATATGATAGTGCGGAAAATCCTCTACATGCTGATATGCTTTTTGTGCTTCCAGCGATGTATACGTATGGTAAAACTGAAGGTGAAATGCGAGCGAAAAGCAAAATTTTATTCTGGATGTAGCAGCGTTATAAAAGGGTGCTTAAAAAAACTGGCAACATAGAGTTGTAGCCATTGATTTGAGATTTTGAATAGCTGCTAATACTCCTATGAAAATTTCTTCTCTAGCAAATAAGATCGACTTACAAATATGTCGCCCTATAACATATAAGACACTGTAATGACTAACTTTGTTCTGTGAGCTAAGCATCTTTCTATAAACATCCACGTGAAGTCCACGAGCGATGATTCTCTCAAAAGCTGTACGGTGCAGCTGATAATGAAATCCCTCAAGATGAATGCATCTTGAGTTGCTATAAACTTTTCTACTATATGCGATATGAGATTCTTCTTTTTTTGCACTCAAAGAATATAATGGGCGAAAGTGGTATGATCCACAACATTTTACCCATTAGTAGATTGTTAGAGGAGTTAGAAACTTTATTCTAAGCATCCATAATTCTTATGAGCCGTACATTGTTTGCTCTAATGGCTTCAGGATTCTTGGCTTTCATTACGTGAACCCCAAGATGTTGAGTATGCCGAGCGTACTCTTCGTCGGTGTTGTCAACAACGGTATCTCCCCAACATCCGGTTAATGCTTTGATTACATCCACTTTATGGTAGTTTTGAAACTTCGTTACTTAGATTAGCGGCTCTCTCTTTATTTCTGTGGAGAAATGAACGTTGCGAGAATGAGGCTATGGTCTGCGTAACATTTAGAAACAACCACGATATCGGCTAGGCAGAAGGTTCGACTTACTGAAATGTAGTCCATTTTGTTATGCTACTCTCCACTGAGAGACTCCTACGTCCACCGCTAGGAGTGAGGTTTTTGGAATTATGAGTCGCCTTGAATTGTTTTGGTCATGATGAACTTAATTAGCCTTGATTCATTGCTGCAATTTGACTAAAATGAAAAACAGAAGTTTGAGAAAGGACGTGTCAAGGAAACGTGTATTTTAAACGGAACTTTCTGCCTAGTATGTATTGCAAAGCACCTCTCAGTTCTCGTTACGCGTAACTCGATAGACGCCGGGTAGGACGGCAAGAAAATGACATATTATTCATAGCCCTAATAAGTTATTCAGCTAAAATGACGTGGTATTTTCTGCAAATTATTAGAAACCAGAACCGTTTAAATATTTTGGCATCCTACCATTCGTTTCGGAAGTATTCTTGAGACCACGCTTAAGGTTCAGTGCACCTGATAATTATTTTTGAGCCATGTATGTAGTCTGTTATGCGCTGGGCACTTTTACAGTGCAACACACGTGTATGGCCTAGCACCCTCGCTGGTTGCACAATGCCTTTCGTCTTGAACCATCACTCTAGGGCGAGAATCCCCTTACATAAAGGAACCGCCAACGTAGTATTTACATGCGCCGTTAAGTAATAAAGATGATCGAACAGTATGATATTTTGCGACTACCAGCCAAGACCAATCGAGTGTACAACACTGCCCATTAGGTGATTTTTATCAGTTAACGTCGCGTATAAATATTACGTCTGCGATCCCTCTATCTCAGGGGATCTTCCCAAGAGAAATTAACTGAAGGGCAAAGGCACCGTGTAACCAATGAGGTTGCAAAGCAGAGACAAATCTATTTCACCTTATAAGTGCCCATAATAGACCACACGCATAGCGCAACAATAGTTATCAGGCATATTTAGGTACTGTCAAAAAAGAAACCAGCTGATAGTTCGTCCATAGCAAAGATTGACACGTCTATCGGCTGTGGTTGAACATAGAAACCATTTTGTGATGGAAACGTGTCGCCTAGTAAATTTTCCGTTTGATTAGGATGTCCAAGCCAGAACATCACATTTTCTGATAAAAAAAAATAAGCAAGAAAAAGAAAGACTAAGCGAGCGGATTCGATCCAAGAAAAGTTTTTTAGGAACTACTGAACGACTAAGTGTAGTGAAATCATAAAATGACGACAATAATTATAGTTAATGTAAGGATTGAAAGGTCATAAAAACTTCTCACCTAATCGCATTTCAATGCTTTCTCAAAAATTCACGAGATCAAATTCATGACTCAAGGTGAAAGGCAGTCTTGCCTATTCATTCCTAATTCATGCAGTTGCCACTATTCGTACCTGGCAGAAGTGATTTAAATTGGAATAAAAACTTTGAAACAATAAATCTTCTATTATCCACCACCCATAAAGCACCTGATGGCCTGAACGTTTTCTTTGTATTGATCTGAGGAAATAAAAAAGCCGAGATCGGACCATTGTGTATCAATACGATAAATAAGTCATTGGACTTTTATTCAAATTCAGTCTATTGCTTCGCTAACATTCTTAGATATATAATCATAACATCATAATATTTTTGTAAAAGCAGAATGAAGAGCACTTTCAGTTTACATAAAGAATTTTCGTTAATTTCTCAGACTCTACATTTCAGTTTTGGAATGATTCCAAAGGATTTGTAATGATGGGTATATTCATGAAGGACGACGATGACGTACCTGTTCTGCGAAACTTCCACGGTACTTTCCGTAGTACGGTAGTTTATCTGGTAATACAGCGATCTCTTTGTGTTTATTAGATGGTCGATTCTCACGAATCCATTCGGTGAGCCGACTTTCTTTCTCCTTTTTCGATTCTTCGGCCGTGTCGTCTTTGACAAGTGATCTAGACATAAGATGAAATTATTCTACATTTTTGTTTTGAATACTAATATTGTGCAAAATTCGTGCTCATAAATTGTACTAACATAATTAGCGAAACTTTACATATTAAGAATTATCTACATGATTTATTTTGCTTTATATTGGATGACAATTAAAAATCTTGGCACTAGCATAGAATAACCACCTAAGTGCTGGTGCTACCGCTTCCGCGTCCAATTCTCCGGAAGTAATGGCTGCTTTCAAAAGTTTCCTCTCTTCACTAGGCAGTTTGTCGAGTAACTGTAATAGTGAGATTTCATTCGCGCTCAGCAGACTGTTGATCTCATTTGAACTCAAAGGTAAGTGATTCTTTGTTGAGGTAGCAATTTATTTGTGAGCGACGTACCAAGTGAATGACTACGACGGAGTCCTCTCTGCGTCAGATTTTTCTCAAAGAAAGATGACAAATGACATCGGTAAATTGTTTAGGGATTCGTTGCATCCTCGACACCTTTTGGTCTGGGTAATTATCTAGTGAGCATGATCTGTATCACCTGTCGCCCCGTTTATCTGCGAGTTACTCAAGTGGGCTCTAGTAAAGCTTCCATTGTCCTCTTATGGCATCTGAGAGTGGCCCAATGAGTCCTTCTCGCTCTAGGAATTCGTTGAGAATCATGTGTCTCATCTAGGTTTCAAAGAAATTGAACCATCGGGTCACTGGTCTTGTGATACGTTTGAGAGTTGAGGAGTCCAGTCTTTGATGGCTCTTCCATCGATGTCATTTGAACACATTGCTTGTCCGGCACTTCAGATCCTTCTCTTATTTGCGCGATATGTTACAGTCCCAGCTTAGACCATCGAACTGTGTCTTCAACAGCGCAAGTGACCTTTCATCTTCCTTGCGTGGCGACCAGGTTTCTGATGATTATGTTGAGAGAGGGTTAGGAAAAGTTACTAATGGTGAGAACAGAATTAACATCGATTCTGACTGAACAAACAGAGCTTGTGTGAAAGTCTGCAATATCATTCTATTGCGCTGCTGTAAAGAAAAAATGATGGCAGATTCCCAACGTCCAC